TAATTAAAAAAAATAAATTAGAAATTGAAAAATTTAAAATATAAGCAAAGGTTAAAAAACTTAAAATTCAATTAAAACATGAAAGACAATTAAAAGAAATGGAATTTAAATATAAAAATAACCAATAAAATTTTTATTCTAAATAAAATTCATTATTAAATATTATATGATTTCTTTTTTATTACTAGCTAATTTTAATTCATTATCATTAAAATCATTATTTTCTTAATTTTCTTTATCTAAATTTAAATTTAAATCCAAATCCCAATTATCTTCATTAAGTTCCAAAAAATTATGAAGAATAATAGTATAATCAGCAAAAAAAATTAAATGTTTAACCTTTTTAATAAAACAACCTTTTAAAGAAACAAATTTTATTTTTAATTTTTCAAAATCATTTTTTATTATAATCCTATATGATGAATGTATTAAATTAAATTTTTTTGCTTTTGATTTGTTGATAGACAAAAAGAAGTAATTAAAAATGGTGAAATTGGATATGCAGAATCTCCAAGCAAATAATCATCATTAATAATTAATTCATTTTTTTGTTTATATAAACTTGAATTTTTATAAACTTTTACATTTTGTACTGATCCTGACCAACCTATATTATAGTTAATAAAAATTTCATGAAAATCTACTATTTCTTAATATTGAATAGAATAACATTTTTTTCGATTAAAATATGATTCTAGAGAATTAGAAGATTTATCATTTAATAATAAATGAGTTTTATTAATAGTGCTATTACTAGGAATAATCCTTATATCACATGTATTTCACTAAGTTATTTTACTGCGGCAAGTAAATTCCTTATTATCAGACTTTATAATTTTAGGAATCTCATATCTTACAAGTATCTGGAATGCCTTGAAATTACTTTACTTGATTTTATGAACTTAAAGATTTAGGGACTTAGGAAAAACGTAGAGAATTTAGTTATTCTAAGTAACGAACTTAATTACAAGTTAGTGTAGTAATTTACGATCAAATCCTAGATGATGAATACGTAGAAGAAAAAAGTATTTTTATTTTAAAAGTTGATTCCTTTATTTATTACTTGAAACTTACAAGTATTTTAGAACTTACAAGAGAGTTATTTTACAACTTAAGCAAAAAATTATTCTATTTATACAAAATTAATTTGCTACAACTAACTAATTGTTATGCTATAAACTAAATTAATTTGTAATTACAAGTGCTAATATAATAATAATAATAATAATAAGAAAGATAATAATTATAATAGAGATAATAATAATATTAGAAATAATGAAGATAATGATGATAATTAAATTAATAAAAATACAGAGAATTAGGAAGATCCAATAAATCATGACAATCATACAAATCTATTAAATCCTAAAAATCCTAAGAATCCTATGAATTTTGCAGATCATTTGACACAGTATTTGATAGATTTAATATGTCATCATTCTATTGGTCACTAATGATCAGTGTAGTAAAGTTGATTTCTGACGTTAACAGCGCTAATTACATTTTAAATTCACCAATTAATTGAAATCCTTTATGAACTAATTTACGTTGCTCTCCTTTTAACCATTAAATAAATAATGATTTTTTTGAAATTATTGCTTTAATTACTATTTCTATATATAAAATTACAGTACCTTTCACAATACCAAATTATGAATAAATTTCAAAAATATTACTTTTACCTCCAATTCTATGTAAAAATACTGCTAATTGAAATTTTACTGATACTTGCTTTTTTTGTCCTTTTGTTTGAAAAATATCATAATTGAATATCAAATTAACTAAAGTTTTATAAAGTTTAAATAGCATTTATAATATTTTTTTAAAATATTTATCATTATAAAATGGTAAATTTTCATTATACCAATAAAATGACTTTAATATATTATATAAACGAGTATTAAAATATCTTGTTTCTGAAAGTAATAATAAATTAAAATTAATTAAGTTATTATCTTTAGTTTCGTTTTCAAAATCACTAGAATTACTATCACTTTCATAAAGAAATTCTTGAACTGCTATTAAAAGAAACGCATTTTTCATTTCTTGTTTTATAAACATTTTAGAATATGCTGTGCATCAATTCATCAATTTGTACATCAACTCTATTTATTTTTGTATATTGAATTATGAATTTTAATTGGTTAATAATAGTGTGCATCAAAAATTAGATCAATTGGAATTGAATATCCCTATTATTAAAGTTAGACATACTCTTATAAAATAAAAAAATTTAAAAAAAATTTGTATCACAAAATTGATTTATTCTAAAAATAAAACTGTAAACAATAATGTCGATCAAATTAAATTTCCATTTTTTCAAAAAAGTAAATATTTCCCAAAGAGGCATTTTGCTAGTCTATGACCCATTTCCCTCCCCTTTTTTTAAATTATGCACTCCCCTTAAAGGTGTGCAAGAAGTGCAAGAAAGTTTCCCTATAATGTCTTTTATATGAACAAAAGTCCTAGATTTTTCATTAATGTAAATCATGTAAATCAGATAAGTATATCTCAAATTATATAAATATTTATGACTTATTTCTTTTTTTCTTATTATAGGAATCAAAATTTTATCAAGCCTTCAGTCTTTTATATCTGTTCTTTATCATTGATTGACAATCGATATTCTAACAATAATATAAAACCAATTTTTAATAGACTTGATCAAAAATGTAAAACAATTCTTCATCAAATCTTCAGATTTAACCTTATATCTATATCTATCCTAACCACTATAATATTCTTTTCTTTGCTTTACTTTAGTAATTTCTTACAATTAAAATAGTTCAATAAGCACATTTTATGGGTAACATAATTTTATAAGTATGGTTCGCAAATCAGTTAAATACTTACTTATTACACAATGTGTAATTCAACAAAATCAGAAAACGAAATGTCACTTTAAATATTCTAAGTGTAAATAAAGGCTTGCTAGAAAAATGTGGTTCTGAGATTTTTTTAATTTTGATTTTTGAATATATTAGATTAAAATGCAATAAGTATGAAATTTTAGAACCCCATTTTTGTAGCAAACCTTCCAAATAGTAATGAAAAAAAAGTAATTTTGAAATGCACAATAGATATTGTTATATAATATATATAACGTATTTAATAAAATGGTAGGTTACATTAAAGCATTGAATAGATCATATAATTTACTAATAATTTGTCTTTCTTTTCTTTATAGAAAGATTTTATAATTAGCAACATTGGTATAAATACAATAAATACAATTCTCAGAAAAAAATTTATCCTATCTCATTCGAATAAATTTTTTTATTACATAAAACTAATTATCATGTTCTTAAATAAAAAAATAATATTATTAACTAAAGAAGAAGAAGATTTTTGTTGGATCAATATAAAAATACTTTCTATTATAAAATAATCTGTTTACCATTGTAATGTTTTCCTGCCACTAATTAAAACAATCAATATCACCAGTTTACATCTCAATTTTATGGAGGTGCTTCTTTCTAAAATCTTTCTTTCCTTACTTACGATTACCATATTACTCAAGTTATTTTTTAAAAAAAATATTTTCACTACGAAGTACATTCAAAATTAAAGAAACACAATACCATTTTGCTAAAAAATTGTTGATTGACACTACATTATACAATCAATTTATCTGTATTATATATTCTATCGTTGAGTTCAACCCATATCGATTTTCTGCGGAAAAAGTCTTCTCACCTAGTTGATAGATAATGTACTTTATGTTTAGATGCTGGGTTTTATATTTAGGGCAGTGACATAATATACCCTTTTCCCAGATAGATGAGATCTTTGCAATAGAAAGAGGAGAAACTGCTGGAAAAAATCAGTTTTACTTTTATATAACAAATATGATTTCAGGATGAAATATGTTCAAATTTAGCATTAACTCATTTTTTATTTTTTCAGCAGTTTTCCCTTTTCTATTGCAAAGGCCCATATAATCTCCCTATTTTATATAGTTATTAGGCTGATAGGATTGAGCAGACTGAAGAATGTATTAGGTTGGATTATAGTTTTTTATCGTATTTTTTTTTTAACATCATATTTTTTAGTGTTCATTTTTTAAGAATTTAAGCCACCGTTACATGTATTTAGACATTTTTATTATATTCTCTTTCAACTGTAATCAATAAAGCAATGAAGAAAGGACACATCAACATTTCCATTATAGGTTATATGTTTTATTTAAACAATAATAAAGTGAATAGGTTTACAACAAAAACCCATCATCACTGGAAAAAAAATAAAGAAAATTTAATCTAGGAAATATCTTCTGTGAATGTTATTTTAAAACAATAAAAAATTAATATTCTCACATTAGTTAAAGAAATGTGTCCAAGAAATTTAATAGAAAATAAATCTGTGTCTGAGTCTGTGTCGGAGATATTTTTGTATCTCCTATTCGCGCAAAATTAACTTCCCCAGCAACGGGGAATCTTATCCTATACCCCGGGTTTAGGATTGAAGAAGAAGGTAATATAGAACAAACTGATGTATTTATCAATGAATTGAAAGATCGTTTGGAACCTGTTTTAAATAGATAAAATTAATAAATTTTTTTACCATGTATATATATTGTTCCATAATGATTCTGATATTTTTTTCCGATTATTTCTTGATTATATAAAAAATTGTTTCTATGATAATAAAAAAAATAAACCGCGCGATATGCAAGTATTTTATCGTATCACGGCCGATCGTCCGACGTGACTCTGTCGATCGATTAATCACGTGATCGAACACGGGCCCCCCAGATGAACATATTTTCATTAAATTTAGAATTATAATGAACCATATTCTTCCGATAATCCTATCAAAGAATGGAAAAACGTAAATCTCGGATTGTGATGTCCGTAGTGTTTCCCGTATATGGTTTGTACAAATTATGGAAACTTTCTAAAACTTATGATAGAAAAATGGCGGCCATTTAAATGATAACTTTATCCAAAGAAATTTGATTGATACAATTAAATTTAGGTTAATTTTTCTTAAAAAGTAAAATGATTCTAGACTTGTCGCAACCCAAAACAGATAAAGATCATAAAGATAATCAATGTTTTGTAGAACTCTGGAAGACTCGTGATAGAAAAATGCGACTTTTTATTGATAATATACAAATTTAGTGTGATTGTGATTTTTTATACATGATCATCAATAAACATTTCGTCCAACAAAATAAATCTTTATAAATAACGTCTTGGGCAAAAAAAAAAAATGAAATAAAAATAAAAATAAAAGATATAAAATTTCTTTTAAAAAAAAAAAACTATTAAAAATGGCTACTAATCCTACCGAAAAGGAATTATCAGATGTTAAATTTGCCGTGCAAAAATTGTGGAACTTGGATACTAATAGATTAACGCCAGGTGTTGATGTAGGTATTAAATTATCCCCTAAGAAATGTAAATTACGTTTAATCTTATACATAATAATGACATTTCGTAGTATGATCTTAACTTGCCTGTGATACGTCAAAAAGGTAAAGTATCATTTCCATGAATTAATCCCATTATGAATTATTAATTTTTAAAAAACTATCGATTTGTAGGAGATAACACACCAGAACATTTATTTAAATTTGTATCTAATAAACCTAGCAAAATGCCAACATTTCAATTATTTTATCATTTGCTTGATAATTACATTCCGGAAACCGGTATACCGGAAGAAGTTGATACTCATGAATTAAGCGAAAATCAGGCTTTCATTAAAGCATGTTTACAAACTGCTCCAATGATTTACACTTATAATTATTTAAAAGCTAAAGGGAAATTTCATGGAACTGAAGCTGATTTTGAAAAGGAACTTGATACGTTATGGTTTAAATTATATAGAAGAGAAGGTCGTGGTCAAGATTCTTCAGCTTTTGAGCACGTTTTTGTAGGTGAAATTAGAAACGGGGAAGCAAAAGGTACGTACGTTCATAAAACATTTCTTGTCGATTGATTGAAGAATTAATTAATCCTCTTGTTTTGTTTACAGCTTTTCATAATTGGATTACGCTTTACTTTTATGAGAAAGCCGGTAAAATTGATTATGAAGGTTTCGTTCCAAGTAAAAATGAAAAGGTTGGTACTTTCACTTTATCAATTTGTTCTAACCTGTTGAATCCTTTTAACATTTCTTGCTCATCATTATCTACAAGCCCGACCCGACTTCTCATGTAATTCCCATAAGATTTACGTTTAAAGGAGCTCTTAAACCCTTCTCCACTTCATTCATCGGCACTGCTCCAGAATTTGAATTGTCAATGTATACATTGTTATTTTATTTTGGAAAGCAAGATACTAGAGTGATATTAGATGATATTAATTTAAACATTAAGATTTATCCTTTTTATGAAAAAGGTGGTGATGGTTCAAAATTAATAGGTTCCGCTTTTCCTGAGATTGTTTAACATGCATGTTAGTTTTGTACTTGCTGCGGTTATATAATAAATAACACTTTTTTAAATATAAAATGGATATACCGAATTTAGTATTCCTACAAAGGTTCGGAATTACAATCTATATATTAAAAGGAAAAGTTAAAATAAAATTTCTCCCTATCGTTAGATATTCTCATTAGTATTGTGTTGTGGTATTGTTTTTCTGTAATAATTCACCAATACCAACTGAATTCATTCTAGTTGATAATCAAAATAGTTTGGGTATTTTCTTCAAACATTTGAAAGTTGGTTTTTTTATTATGATTAGATTACGTAATGAGGTAAATAATGGATGCAAATCAGCATGATTTTCACGTGTTTAAATTTACAAATCTAAATTATCTTCCAAAAAGTTTCCAACCAGAAGTATAAGCTAAAATAAAAATGACTAATAAAATACCATATTCAACAAAACCAAAAAGTAATCTAATGATCTTATTATCCATGGCTATTTCAACGAGTATCCAAATAATTGCTAATCCAAAAAAAATCCAGGTCAATATTTCGACCGCTCGTCCTGATCCTGAACCTGGTCCACGTCCAAATGTGTTGATAACCAAGGCCGAAAGTAACCCCAATAAAAGATCACGAGATATTCTTGCCGCTCGTCGTGGTCCATGATTCTGAGTAGAAATAATTTGTTATTTTGTAAACGAAATTATTGTAATGTTTTTGTCATATCAACTTACCATAATTTCGGTAATTCCCCCTTTCTTGGAATTACTCCCCCTTTCACCTCTTTCAAGGGATGCATCTTGCCTATCAGCAGTATGAGCATTCCTAGTCTTTGTCTCTTTTGAAGCCCATTTAAAAAGTCTATTTATTTGCGTGATAAAAAAATTTAATTTGATGTCATCACAATAACAATAAATAATCCTTTTCCTTATACGTACGTTAGAAGTGCCCAGATAATCCAAAGAATCCAAAGAGCTATCCATGCAGAACGAACATGACTTGTCGAAAACGAATTATCAATTCCATCACCAGGTATGTTAGAAACTTGAGCGGAAATAGGAAGAATATCATTAAAAAATTTCACAACTACTAAAAAAACCGCGACTTGCGTTGAGGATGTGACTGGCATTGTAATTAAGTTTTTTGGGAAAAAATTTTTTTGGGAAAAAAAATTGATTTGATTTTATTTTAAAAAAAAATCAACATTACAAGTATTTCGGTCATAATTATATAATAAATCGAATTAATAATTTTATAATAATTTCGATCGATATTTTATCATATTTACGTCTTCCCCCCCTCCCCCCCTCCCCAACAATACTTCCAATTTATTAAATGTGTCAAACAGGCTTTTTTTTCTTTGAATATTAAGAAATAAGTGACGTACTGTCGGGTTACATAATCTTACTTTGGCGACCATATAAAACTTGGGAACGGGAACCATCTTAAGTGTGAAGAAAGTAACCAATCACGTATCGATTCAATTTTTAAAACGGGGAAAAACGGATAACTTTGATAATTCTTAATTATTAAAATTAACAATATTTATAAATTATTATTATTGTTGTTTGCTACTTGAATTTTAAGAATAAAGCTTCGAAAATACCTAAACCAGTACTTTATAACTAACATGTTTTTGGTTATTATGATCAGGGGTTTAAGAATTTCTAATTAGATCAAATTATTTATTTAAACTTAATTTTGAATCATTAAATTTGTAATTTTAATTAGAGATGATTACATTTATGATATGTATTATGTTCGGATCATATGATTTACTATTATTTTAATAGCAAATGATCCATATTATAACATATATAGGAGATTTTTTATTAAAATTTTAATTTTTATTGCATTTTAATTTTTGATAATGTTAGATTAAAATGCAATAAAAATTAAATTTTTAATAAAAAATGCTTAGAATTCCACTTTTCTAGCAAACCTCCCATATGTTTATACATGCATATTAACAAAATAGATTTTTATTATTTTTATCAGAACCTTTCTTTTTCTTTTTTTCATTTGGATTTTATTTAATAAATCAATTAAATTTAATAAAATTATCTAATAAATTATTGCTATAAATATTATATTTTATTTAAATAAAATGTAATTAGATTTAAACAAAAGTAAAAAATGTAAATACCAAATCATGATAGCATTATTAAGAGAGTCATCTGAATCAAAATAGAGGATGGCAAAGAACCTTGGTTTGTAATTATTTGAATATGAAATATAGCATGAATTTGCTTTAGTAGCAAGAATAATATCTTATAAGTCACATGCTAAAGTACTAAAGAGCAGATTGGTCAATTTAATATGAATATTATTTCTTTGTCTTGAAAAAGATCTACCAGATAAACTCTAATACAGTTATTATACAAGTAATATGATTACTATGTGCAAAATAACTGGATAGTTTTAGGATCATTATAAATAATATATGCATGTTGTCAATAATCATGAGTTTACAATTTAATATTAGTAATGTTTCTATATTTAGTAAAGATTGAGGTAAGGATATCTTTTTCACATTTAGATGTATGTCAGTAACATATAGGATGCATTGTTAAAAATGCATATTTTTTTTTATAGAATTGATATTTAGTGAATTTTATATTAAGAGTTGATTTCATTGTAATTTTATTTCAAAATAGATAATCATTAATCTGATAAAATTGACACATTAGATATTTGCTTCCTTAAACACATTATTCTAAATAAATTAACTATTGATAATTTTAATAATAGCTACAGTAAAGAGTTCATAAGCAGTTTTTTAACTATAGATGCGTAAGCAAAAGGAGTAAGTCTAATAATAATAATAAGGTTGTTAGTGTTCATATTTTCATCATATTCTATTAGAACAAATTCGTCTAGGTCTAAAAAGTTAGATATAATTATATTTTTCTTAGTTTAAAATGTCTCTTTTACAATAGTTTCATCAGAAAAAAAGTTATCAATTGGAATACCACCTGAAATAGAGGCTACAGATTTGGGTTATTTGCTTTTAGGGTTAAAATAAAACTTATTTTTTGAAACAGAAGTTCTTTCAAATTTTTAGTTACCTATTTTTTGTAGTTATAAATTTATGTAAACCTTTTTCAGAAATAAAAGTATTATAAAAGTGAAAAAATAAAATAATTAATAGAGTTGTAAATATTAGAGTAATTAAGACGAAACAATTTTATTTTCTAAAAAATTTTGTTTTCAAAAATTTCGGGTGAAATGAGAAAGAGTTTTTTTTCCTCTAAAAAAATTTTTTTTTATGATATGATACTGCCAATAACTTTATTATTTATTGAGAAAAAATTACAAAAGTAAGAATTAATACAAAAATAAAAGAAAAAGTATTAACTATCTCTTGTAATTATATTATAAACCCGTTTGAATTAATCTATCATTATTTAATTTCTCTAACAAACTTATTAGATGCAAATCTAATGATTATTGTTATCATAAAAAAAGGAAAAAGAAAATCAGTATCTACTTAAAAATCTGAAAATATATTAGTATACTTATTCGACAAGTATATCTATAAATCCTAATTCTTAGATTCATATTGATCTAAGAAATATTTTAAAGATTTATTAGCATTTTTTTAAATTTTTTATCCTTAGTAATACTAAAAGAACATTCTTTATCACTTAATAATTAACAACAATATAATCAAATTTTATTATAAAATAATTTCATGTAAAATATAACAAACTTTTTAAAAAATAATTATTATGATTTTTTATGATTTTGTGAACAAGATTCACCAGAGTAGAAGGAATTCTTAAATTAATGATATCAAGAAAACCATTACTGCTAAAAGATAGAAAAAAAAAATATGATCAAAAATATTTAGAAGTTCTGGAAGCAGTGAAGTATTTTGACTTGAAAATACTTAAATAAGTCAATAAGATGATCTTTTGAGCTAAGAATAATGTTTGTTATTTTTTGTAAATAGGCAGAACATGAATGATTTAGAGACTTTATTATAGTCAATGCAATTCCAGTTTTTCTAAAAAATTTTTTTTTTGATGTGACACTGCCAATAACTTTATTATATTTTATAAAAAAAATATATAAGTAAAATTAGAAAAATAGAAAAAGAAAAATATTAGCTATCCCTTATGATTATATTACAAATCCATTTAAATCAACTTATCATCATCTTTTCCTTCTAACAGACCTAACAGACTCACTAAATACATATCTAATAACTACTGTTATCACCAAAAAAAGAAAAAGAAAGAGTCAGTACCTATCTAAAACTTGAAAATAAGTTACCAAATTTATGAATCAGGTAGAACCATGTTTTTCAATGATGAAATTTATGTATATCTGTAGAGTGATCTAGAAATTTATTAGCATTATGTTTAAATTTAAGTTTTTTCATCAAAAAGTGGATAAAATATGATATAGTAGTAAATCATTTGTCTTGATTTCTTGTAATTTTGTAAATAATATTATCAAAGAAGAAGAAATATAGAGTTATATAATAGAAAGATAGCTATTTGAACGTGATGATGATGAAGAGAAGGTAAGATCGTAAAGATCAAAAATTTCAGATAAAAGAAAAGAATCTTTTTTAAGAATAAGAAAATTGTTAAGCAATAAGAACAGATAATCTTTAGAGCAGTTAATGATATTTGCCATTTTGGTATAACATGATCAAAGGTTTGAAAGAGATTCAGTAGCAATATTACAACCAATATATTTTCAATTTTTATAAAAGTCTAGTTATATTTTTTCAAGCCTAGCAAGAACAGGAAATTCATTAACTAAATTTTTGATCATGAATGATTTCAGTTGAACAGAGGTAAAGAAAGTAATTATAGATAAAAAATCTATTGAAAGAATGTGCCAAATAGCAAATCAATTGATAGTTGATGGGTTAGTGAGAAAACAGAGATCCCTATTTTGATTTAATGCGAGAAAATCACTGAAAGTATGAGCACTCAAAAGATTTTTAAAGAATTGGCAGATTGGTAATTCAATAGGAATATCATAGTATTGGAAAATCAGATTTCTAGAGCTAATACCTGATAATTTAGGTGAGAGAGCAGGCAAATTATGACTGCTTTTTGCTTAAAAATCAGTAATATCATTATGGGTATTTCTATTATGTGCCTTTACTTTATATAAAAGAATTGAAAGTTGTAGGGTATTTTTGATAAATTGAATAATATTCCAAATTGGATAATTGGGAATTTTCTTAAGAGAATGATTGAAAAGTGTAGAATAAGCGATATATGTGTTAAAATCATAAATTAGAGCTTAACTATCAGTATAAATATATACTGTAACAGAGTGAGGAGAGACAATAAGAGCTGTTAAAAAGGCAAAAATCTCTGTATTAGTAGAGAATAGCTAATTATCAACTGATGCTACAAATTGATAATAATAAAATTATTTGTTAATACAAAGCCAACTGATACACATTTTGCAATTTTCAAATCTAGCATTTGTTAAGAAACTATCTGTATAGAATAATAAAGTGTAATTATTGGAAGGGACAAATTGTATAGATAAAAGTGATGATGAGTAAAGTGATAAAAGTAGAATGATATCAATAATATTATTAGATATCAGAAGTGATAAGAGGAAAGTAGTAATATTATAATATAATAAGTAAGTAATACAAGAGATTTCTATTAGAAAATAATAAAGTTACTCCTTTAGTTTATTTGGTTGGTTTAAAAGAAGATCAATCTTAAATGCATTATTCATTGAAATGTGAAAAGTGCAAGTATTATTAAAAGTTATTAGTGAGAATTAAGAACATCCTCTATATTTAACAAGAGAGCTATTATGATTATCATTGAGAAGCACAGTATAATAGTAACAAATAAACCAGCCTGAGTATAACAATTTGTTAAAAATGAGACCGAAAGAAGGTACATTCAAGATTAGATTCTAGAAAGCAATAAACTCTTGTTTATAATCTATAATAAAAGAGGTAATAACTAAATATTTAAATAATGGAAGCAGTTAAACTAATCTATATTCTGCTTAAGCAGTCTAGTAGTAATATTATCTAAAACTAGAGATTCTAAATCAATAAAAATTTTGAGTTTTCTAATCTATTATTTTTATAAGCAAAATTTCTAATACACAAATCAGATTTGTTAATAAGAT